GTTTTCTATATATCTGATATACTTTAAATTGTACTTTTAATGTTAAAATTACCTTGAAAATTGTGGATAGTGTTGTCCCCTTTCATTGTGATATTTCTTCTATAATACCGTATATATATTTTTTAAAGCTCCCTAATCTGTAATTTAAATTGCTAAGGTAACATCACAAAGGAGGAAGATGATAATGTTACTGGCACTGTCGTTCTTTCCCGGATCAAGCTCTACAGTTCCTAAGTGGTGAAGCCTGTTCCACAAATTATCTTTTGCTAAATTAATTTTCCACTGAAAGAACTAATTAAATGCATGAATCCTCTGAAATCTTTGGACACTGAAATTGTCCATTCAGCAAATATTTTATTTTTCAAGCTTATTTCAAGAGAAGTTAATATGATGTTCATTTGTTTAACCTACAGACACTTGGTTCACCTGCAAAGGTCATGATAGAAGCTGGCAAATGGTCCATTAGCCTTGTCAGGGAATTTATTGTGCTCAGAAATAAACTCTCCAGGGGAAAAAAAAAATCACAAACACACAAAAACATAAATGTTGTCATGTAGGTTTTTTGCCTGGAATTTTCATCTCCCACAGTAGCCACTTTTGATAATAAATGAATGTTGTGATGACTGTTGGGGAGAAGCAGGCATATTTACTCTTCTGAAAGCTGCTAATGATTCTTTTTCTTTTTTTTAAATTTATTTATTTATTTAAGTTTATTTATTTTTTTAGTAATCTCCACACCCAACTTGGGGTTTGAACTCACCACCCCGAGATCAAGAGTCACACGCTCCACCAACCAAGCCAGCCAGGCGCCCCCCTTTTATTTTAAAAAATAGCAGTACACGGGACGCCTGGGTGGCTCAGTCGGTTAAGCGTCTGCCTTCGGCTCAGGTCATGATCCCAGGGTCCTGGGATCGAGTCCCGCATCGGGCTCCCTGCTCCGCGGGGAGCCTGCTTCTCCCTCTGCCTCTGTCTCTCTCTCTGTCTCTCATGAATAAATAAATAAAATCTTAAAAAAAAAAAGATAGCAGTACAGTCTACCATAAAATGCACAGGGTTGTATAAGAGGCACTGAGACCTACTGAAAAGAACACATTTCTTGGATTCTTACAAGATGGGTTGAAGTCCCATTTTAGCCTCTTACCATGTGACTTAGTTTCATTATTTAGGCTAGCTGAAACTCAGTTTCTTCAGTTGGGAAGTAACGCTTGGAATAATAACCCTCTTCTTGCCGAGCTAGTCTCAGAATCCTGAATGACATGTAGCACATGGTAAGTGCCTGACCTGTGTAGTAGGAATTCAGTACATGGTACTAATTATTGTTATCGCTGATTATTATGGTTTTCAGCCACATTTGTTCATAAGAAATCTGTTGCCACAAAAACTTGGTCATTGTCTTTAAAGATTTTATTTATTTATTTATTAGAGAGAGACAGAGAGAGAGCATGAGAGGGGGGAGGGTCAGGAGGGTCAGAGGGAGAAGCAGACCCCCCGCCGAGCAGGGAGCCCGATGTGGGACTCGATCCAGGGACTCCAGGATCATGACCTGAGCCGAAGGCAGTCGCTTAACCAACTGAGCCACCCAGGCGCCCGGTCATTGTCTTTAAATAGAAATCATTATTTTTTTTCGTTTTAGTTAATCCAGCTTTTTTATGCTCCCATCCTTTTCCTTTCTTTTGAGAAAATCTCAATTACATATCACAAAGGAGACTTCAAAAGCACCCCTACTTCCTATTTTGCTGCTTCTGTGGAAGATTGTATGCAGACTATTGTATTCTACAGTAAGCGTTGACAAACTTTCTGTAAAGGACCAGATAATAAGTGTTTTGGGCTTTGCAGGCTTTGCAGCTCTAACATTCTCGTTATAACTACTCAACTCTGCTGTTGTAGCATGAAAACAGCCATAGACAATATGTTAATAAATAAGTGTGGCTGTAATTCAATAAAACTTTACAAAAGCAGACTTCTAGGTGAATTTGGCCCACAGGCCATAGTTTCCCAACCCTTACTCTGTGGTATGCTGGCTTAGCAATGAGTGCTGTCCCCATGGCTCAGAGGATTTATGTAGCTGAGGCCATCTGAAAGTAATATTTAGCAAATGCTTCTCAGACCATAGAGCCGTGTGCCGTTTAGAACACCTTTAGTCACGTGCTTCTCTACTACAGCTATTCTACCATCGTGTGGCTGGTTGTCGTCTTGTTCACAGCAGAGTGTTGGCTACTTAGAGCCTCACCATTCCTGCTTCAAATCTGAGCTACTGCCCTTCTTGTCACTACTAAATTGGATTTTGCTGTTGCTTTTTGTTCCTTCATCCTTTTTCCAAATTTCTGTTCTCTTCTTTCTCTAGTCCCCCTTCCTGGCTGTTTCTCCTCTGCAATTCAGTGTTCTTCTGAGCAGCTTGAATTTTATACCTTTTGCCAATAAGTGTGAGAGGCTTCCTATCCTTCTGGCAGGGAATGAAGCCATAACATAGAATCTGATGTAAGCCCCAAGACTTAGTCACTCCTCAGTCATTTTTGTAACTTCTTCCTCCACTGGATTCTTTGTTTGTTGACAGAGTTTCTTCTTTGCCTTAATTTGCCTTACCTTCATTTATTTATTTTATAGTTATTTTTAGACCACCAAAGATATATATCAGGTGTATGCTCAGCAGTGGGAATGCAAAGATGAACATAATAGGCATTGTCTTTGCCCTCATGAAGTTTAGCAAAGAGGACACACGTTATGTAAAGAATCACACAAATAATTATGTTGCAATAGGTAGTAGAAAGGAAAAACATAATTTGCAGTGACAACATCTAATAGGACCTAGCCTGAGAAGTCAGAGAAGGCTTCCCTAAGGAAATGCTTAAAAGCACATAATAAGCCTTAAATAAATATTCGTGAAATGAATGCAAAAATGCAATTATATTTAAGGGGAAACCTGAAAGGTTGGCAAGAATTAACCAGATAAAGTTTAGAGAATGAAAGTGAGAGGGGAGTCCAGACAGAGGAAGCAGTATGTGTGAAAGGCTCTGAAGTTGGTTCTCTCAGTGAAGCAAACGATGACTTGAGAAGAGGGGGGAAGCATTGCTTCTCAGAATGAAATGCTAGAGGTCACCAGGGTTGTGTTAATGAAGGCAAATAGGCTATGTTTAAGGATCTGGACTTTGTCCTAAGAATGATGAGAAACCACTGGTGGTGACACGATGGGTTCCTAGTTCCACACGGCTTCAAATACTTGAAGTTGTCAGAAGGCCAAGCTCTAGAAACTCTCCAGAGTGTTCCTCCTGCAAAATAAAAATAAACAAATAAATATACCTGAACCTAAACCTGAACTCTTCTACCTTTGAAACAGATATAAGTCACTACAACTTTCAAATTTCCACTTGTCGACAGTCCATGCCCCTATGATACTGGTAGCTATTTCATGAGTATATAGTATTCTATTAAAGGCTAATAAAAAGTATTTATAGATTGGTAGACTGTACATTTTAAAAGTATCAGAGAACACTTAGTCAAGACTATAAGAGGCCCCTCCAAAGCATCCTGGATGAATAGCCATAGTTGTCTTCTGCTGGGATACTGCCAGCGACTTAAATTTCACTACTCTTAAAATTGTTCATTCCAAGTTTGGCGGGGGGGGGGGGGGGGGGGGGGGTTTGTTTTCTTGTTTTCTCACCCTGGCTTTTCACAAGTCATCCTTCTGCAAGTGAAAATGTCTTTTGTGTTACTTCTGTCCTTAGTTCTTATTTCTTAGAATTGCATAGAATAAGCCAAATTCACCATTTTTAAAGTGCTTAAAAACCAAGATGCTTGATAAAACCTGAGAATTAGATTATGAATTACAAGGTGGGACTGTGTAAAGAATGCATTAGGATAAGCATGGTAGAATGAGATAGTGATTTATCTTCTAGGGCATAATAACTAGTAAATAATATAAAATCAACTGCACTCAGAACTAGAACCTTGTTTCTTTCCTTTGGTCAACAAATCGTGCACTTACTATGTGAATAACATTCTATATTGCTTGAGGAATAAAAGCATTAAGAGTACTAGGGTTGTAAGATCTTACTCGCAGAGCTAATGATTTCTTTTGAGAGAAAAGATTGTTTGTTTATGTGAGTGCAGTAGGAGAGCACATGCCAAATAAGCAGTACTAAACTAGAGCTATAGAAGTTCCAAAAAAGAGACCATGATGGGCTGAGATGGAATAAATTTATTAAGAAATACCTAACTTCGGGCGCCTGGGTGGCTCAGTTGGTTAAACGACTGCCTTCGGCTCAGGTCATGATCCTGGAGTCCCGGGATCGAGTCCCGCATCGGGCTCCCTGCTCAGCAGGGAGTCTGCTTCTCCCTCTGACCCTCCTCCCTCTCATGCTCTCTCTATCTCATTCTCTCTGTCTCAAATAAAAAATAAAAAATAAAAAAATACCTAACTTCACTGAGTTTCTCTTTAAAAGGGGTTGGACCAACCCTTGATTATGATTTATTCCCCCCCCCTTCTCCCATTTCCCTTCCACCACCACCTGTATCATTTATTTGGCCTGGATGAGCCTTCAGACAGTGTTTATTGAGTTGAATTACTTTATCTCCCTTGCTATGTTAGTCATGTTGAAGATGTTCCGTTCTATAATAATTTTTCTCATTCTATTTTTCTGTGCCTTATGGATTGTTTTCAATGAATACATATGTTTACATTAAAACACATACATATAAAGATGTTCATACCTATTGTGGGAACACAAGCAAAGACCAGCATTTGAAGATAGGTGAAAAAAATTTTTTTCTTTGAGTCTTTTGAAATGGTTGTTAGGAGCTTTGCCAGGGTACATTAAGATGACCAGCATCCTCTTCTGAATGGCTATCCTGGGCTGACCTTAGAGATTAAAATAAGTGGATTATGTGGCACGATGACAGTAACGAGCCATTGATTTAGCAGCAAAGCTTTGCTCACAGATCCTTACTTCTTTGTCTGCCTGATTTATTTCAAGAACTGCTTTATCGTGTTTCTTTTCCTTCAGCGGAACGGAAGCCCCCCCTTTTCAACATGAATGCAATGAGTGCCTTATACCATATTGCCCAGAATGACTCCCCAACGCTACAATCTAATGAATGGTAAGACTCTGCTCTCATTTTAAGTCTCTAAGGGAATCACCATATGTATTTGGCACTTTAATTCAATCACATTTTAAATATCTGACCTAGAAACCATACATTCCTTCATTGTATGTTATAGTAAGTGACAGTGGTAGTTTATAGGCATGAACTGGCTATGCACACACACACACACACACATTTTTATTTCTGCCCTCACTGTCACTTGTACTGTGTCCTTAATGTGTGTGTAGGAACTGAAATTCTACAGGGAACATGCCCTGCTATCTTCCTAATAAGTCTCATCTCTTAAATCCTGACAGTCTTGTATTGATCATCTCAGCTCTTATCACTTCTTGGCAGAGATAAAGTACCTTCTCTGATGTCATTATTTTTCCAGTTGTCATTTCTTTTATTATATGTATATTTAAGAATGTTGACACTGAACATACATTATCTATTCAGAAGACGTATTGTTCCTTATAGAAAATTGTAACATTTTGATAACTGTTTGGGCCACAAGAGTTACAGAAGAAGGGCAATTTTAAACAAGAGTGGACAAAATGGAATTCTCAAGAGAAGGAAGTTTTTCCATCCAGAAACCATATTCCTAAGTTCTCTTCCCTTATGCTTCAAATTTTACTACCTGGTTATAGGTGGGGGTGATGGAGAAGTTACCAAATAGCAGTGAAGAATATAGGCTTGAGACTTAGGAGAGTTGTTATCTTTGGAAGGAAAAATGTGTATAAAACTATTGTATATATAAATAATAATTTTAATTTTCTGACATAAACTATGATTTGATCTTGCCTATTTGTTAAGATATGTTTGTGTTGACTAACTTGAAACTCCACATTCATTATCCAAATATTAATTTTTAGATACTATAAACTTGAAAATGGTCCACTTCTCCTAATATTCCATATGTTTTATTAAAAATCTCTTAAAGTATAAAACTTTCCCTTGAATGAGAATTATTTTAAACACGCAGTGTATTCCACAGACCCTGATTTTATTTTCTTTTCATGTATTTGCACATATAGGACAGACTCCTTTCGGAGATTTGTTGATTACTGCTTGCAGAAAATACCTCAGGAAAGGCCAACGTCAGCGGAGCTATTACGGGTAATTTTTCAAATTTATATTTGAGTAGGGGGATTTAAAGTCATGTTGTAGTGGAATATAGTAAATCATCTCTGTGGCAGCTCATCATGACAAACTGGATTGGAACGTGCTGCCTTCTCATTTATCCAGAGATAATAGCTAGGCATAGAAACAGCAAGATTATCACAATGGATGGTGCTATATATTCCATGTGGACAGTTTTTTCCCCAGCTTTTCCATCTTCTCTTTTTTCCCCTCCCTCTTTCTGCCTATGACAACAAGTAATTCTCTTTGCTCTGGTCATCATTGTGATTTCCTATGACTAATATCAGCATGAACTTCAATACAGTGCTTTCAGGACAGTCTGCCAATGTTTCACATGCCAACTCAGGGATTTTTGGTTAGGTTGTTGCCAAATCATCAGGCAGTGAAGATGTACAATAAGTGTACAAAGCATACATTTGCATCACATTACATCATACATGTTGGTGACAAGAGTATCACGTTAACTCCATTCATTTGATTTAAACATCGCATTTTGGGGCATCTCGTCATGTAACATTTATTATAAACTTTATATGTAGATTCCATCAATATCAGTGAAGTGTGTGGAGACTTTTACAACATAAATATCTTTTATTTGGCACAAACTAGTCCAGATTTATTTAACCTCTTTATGTATGTATATTTTTCAACTCTTTTTTGTTGGTTGGTTGGTTGGTTTTAAGAAAAACTCAGAAAGATTATATTGCCTAAATTTGAAAGCTTAAGACTGTCAGCTGCCTTTATAATTGAAGAGCACCTTGTCTAGGTCACAAATTCTTGATTTACATTTTCTTTTTCTGAGAACTCTGTAAACATTATTCTATTTTCTGGCTTTAAGTGTTCCTGAAGATGTAGGTCTGAAGCCAGTGAGTTTTTCCACATTAAATTAAGTTTTTTCTTCTTGTAAATAGTAGCCCACAGAAATATGGTGACCAAAGCAACAAGGCAAAGGACTCTGTCTAATTCCCTTTGGTGTAGGGCCATCCTGTGTTCTAGACATGAACTCTACTCTGTATGCCTCATTGATAGCTCCACATTTCTGTAGGGAAAAACGACAACCAGAACAAAGCACCAGATAACCTAAGATAAAGTAGTATCTTTATTACTTTGAAGTAAGTGAAAAAAATTTTTAAATGGTGGTGAGGAGTAGAAAGCACTCCCATAAAGGGAAAGAGATAATTTGGGGCTATATTAAAATTAAGGGGGGAAAGCACCTCAGAGAAGAAGATAATACAAGGATTCAAAGATGAATTTTAGGGTACAGACACTAAAGGGATATAAAAAGCAAGCAGGCAGAGGTAAGAAAAGAAATGGAAGAGAAAAATTAAAACACAAAATCATAAGCAACAAACTAATGTAATAAACCAACCCATGTAGGGTATTTCCAGTGATAGAAAGTTGTAAGGAAATAAAGCAAAGTTAAATGCAAGAGGAAAAATTATAAAGGTGATCATAATGAAGGTGACTCATGTGGAAGACAGGAGATCTAATATACACCAACCTGTTATTCCTGAAGAAGAAAGCAAAACGCATCTAGCAGAAGATATTTAAAGTGTACCTGAAGAAAAGTTTATTGGAAATAAATGTTTAGATCTTTATTTGACTTGATTTAGTCTTAATTTGATTTGGTGGGCCAAATCACATGAGCCCACCCTTTACTCAGCAAATATTTACTGATTGTCTATTGCATACCAAGCACTGTTCCAAGCACTAAACACACAAGTAAATATATGATATCAGTTCATAGTAAATTCTTTTTTTTTTTTTTTAAGATTTTATTTATTTATTTGACAGAGAGCGAGAGAGCACAAGCAGGGGAAGCGGCAGAGGGGGAGGGAGAAGCAGGCTCCCCACTGAGCAGGGAGCCTGATGTGGGGCTCGATCCCAGGACCCTGGGATCATGACCTGAGCTGAAGGCAGACACTTCACTGACTGAGCCACCCAGGCGCCTCCATAGTAAATTCTTTGTGGGAAGATAAAGCAGGGACAGGGATGAAGAGTGATGGTGCCTGGCATTCCCTTTTTCTTTCTTTCTTTCTTTCTTTTTTTTTTAAAGTAAACTCTACCCCCAACGTGGGGCTCAAACTCACAATCCTGAGATCAAGAGTTGCACATTCTCCCACCAAAGCCAGCTGGGCACCCCAGGAGCTGGTATTTTAGATGAGTTAGAGAAGGCCTTTCTAGGAAGATAACTTTTAAGCAGAGCCCTGAAGACAGACACCATGGAACTGATCTTCAGTAACCTGATGAAGTTCCTGAACTCCAAGGATAAAGAAAGATTCCTACAAATAGGCTGAAAAAAAAAAAAAAAAGTATTTTGGGGTGGATCTTTGACCCAGCTGAGGTGCTTTTTAGTTATAAAGGCAGCTGACATTTTCAACCTCACAATTAGTTGATTTTTTTTTTCTAATAGCTTTTTAAAAAATTGCTCAATAGCAAAATCCAGTCAATCTAGTAATAAAACAAGACAGAAAAAGAGTGAGGGAGAGAAGGAAGAAAGAATGAATTAGGAACTGAAGAAACTGTTAAAAGGACTGGTAGCAAACACCAAATTTAAATTGACCCCAAAAATTTTTATGTATTTCTTTTGCTTGGTTAAAGAGACTACATTCTTCATGTTGAATAGGTAATACAAATTTCAAAAGACAGAGTATGAAAAGTAAATCTCCTTCCTATTCTAGGACCCTCTCTAGAGTTAGCAACCACTGTCAACAATTTTGTGCATGTTTTTCTAGAGATATTCTATGCATATGGAAGTAAATATACCGATTTATTTTTGCACCAATGGGGGCAAACTGTAAACACTATTCTACCTTGATTATGTGTTTGCCTGTTTTACTTCATAGTATGTTTGGCGTATTTTTTATGTTACTACATGCAGAGCTACCTCATTCTTATAAATGGATCCGTAACATTTTCAGAATGACTGTACTTGTTTTAACCAACCTCTTTATGGTGTTTGTAGTCTTTTGCTATTACAAACTACTGCAGTCATTTTCTATGTGTTGGTTTATACCTGTATATGGATATCGAAAGAATAAAATCCTGCAAGTGAAATTGCTAATCAGAGGGAATATAGATTTTAAATTTAAACAGATACTGACAAAAATCCTCCTCCAAAAACGTTGCACCAATTTATAGTCCCACTAACAAAGTATGAGGACCAACACTTTTTGAACTTGGCTCTCAGCTCAGTGGAAAACTTACAGTATTTCTTGTTACGAGCTAAGTTGAGCATCTTTCATAGGTTGAAAAGCTCTTGGTTTCCTCTTTTGTATACTTTTTGTGATCTTTGCCCATTTGTCTGATTGTTAGGTTTTTTTTCCTTATTATTTTGTAGTAGATCTTGCAAATATTTTTTTCCCTATTTCTCTTTCGATGTTCTTTATGCTGGGCTTCTTTTGAGAGGTCATGCAAAATTTGTTATAAAGAAGTCAACTTGTTTCCTCCCAGTTGGCTATTTTGTTCCCAAATATTTTTAGGTAATTCATCTTTTCTTCACATTTTCTTCCTGACGTTTTAAAATGTCACCTTCACATTGAATCCATTTAAATACAGAGCCAAGGTAAAATCATTTATATGGTTAATGAGCAGAACGTAAGCGCTATAAACATTGACAATGTAAAAATACTAATGTAACTAGAAAAACCTAAGGGTAGGAAAGAAAGATAAGTGTACTGATTTTCCTGTTTTTCAGAGTAGATGGTCAATAATATCCTTAAGTTGAAATGCATAGATTAAAAAAAAGGTAACTCCGATCTCCTTCATTTTTTTCTTTTCTTTTCTTTTCTTTTTTTTTTTTTTGGTTAACTTTAGAGAGTCTTTTCAGAACTGGTAAGTCTTGGTGAAGAAATTATAACTGAAGTTAAGCTTTACTTCATTGTCTTCTAATTCTGCTACATTTAAGCATACCTTAATTTAATAGACTTTCTTAAAGTTAGCATGTATAATCTTTCCATGTAAAATTATTTCTAGATATCTATTATCCTGAGAGAGAATGTCTGAAATGATGTTCTTTAATTTAGTAATATTTATTTCTGGATGGTGGAACTTGGGATGATTTACTTTCTTTTATGCATTTTTCTGTATTATTTAAATGTTTCAAGGAAATATACTTTCAAGAACAGTAAAACCATTATTTTAAAAGGATCTGGGGACCTTTTAGCTGTAGGGGTTTCGAGAATAATGGGCTTTGGAGAACAGGGAAGAAATGGGATTGCAGGCAGAAAGAACATAAGCAAAGGCATGTAGGTGTGAAACACATGGCATGAGTCAAGAACTATCTAGAATGTACTATATGCATTGGATGGGAAAGAGGATTAGGAGTGACTAGATTTGAACATAGAAATACACCCACGAACCTGGCTGTAAAAGGCCAAATTTCATCATGGAGGCATGTGTTTAAGACGTTGAGTGTATCAGTTTTAGAAGGCTTAAACAGGTACGGGTTTAATTATCTTGTGCAATAAGAAGTCCAGGGCGTTGAGGAAGGAGATGTTATAAGCAGTCCAGAGCAATAAGCAGTTCAACAATGTCATCATGGATCCAAGCTCCTTCTATCTTCCTACTTTATTATCCTCAGTATGTGGCTTTTATCTTCTTGGTCACAAAATTGCTCCTGCATCTCCAGGACTCAAGTGTTTATCCCAAGAGGGAAAAAGGAGGAAGGGCAGAGTGGGAAACACCTTTTCTTCGGGTGCTTTGCCTTTTTATTCTAGAAAACAAAACTTTCCTCAAGGACTTCTGCCTCTATAGTATCTCAACAGAACTCAGTCATACTGTTATCTGTAACTCCAAAAAAGGCTGGAGTTCAACTCTTTACTTTCTAGTGCTTACAATAAATGAAGGCAAGGAAAAGAGGTTGGAATGGGAGATGAATGGGACACCAGTGTCTGTCACAATGAGTGACACAATCAAATCTATGTCTTAGAAAGATAACAGCAGTGGTAGACCACCAGAAAACAAACACCAAATGAGGAAACGTGGGTTACAGGCGTAGCTCTTCCACTATTTGACTGTGTAAATCACTTAACCTCTCCATGCCTGAATTTCCACACCTTGAAAATAAAAGAATTTCTAAGAGCTATTCTTGCTCTAAAATTCACTGATCCTAAGTTATAGCTTGAAGTTCACTGAAAACCAGTTTGCTCTTATATAATCACAAGTACTAGAGGAGCAAAATAATTTACTTTCTCCCTTTCATGCTCATCTGGTACTATTCAGGCTGCACTCACTTCCGGGAATAGTGTTTCATTTTCAGAAAGGACTCTGCAGAGGAAGAGATATTTTATAAAACCAGGAGCAAAAGCCACAATTCCCCTGACAGCAAAGTCAGGATGAAGAACCACAAGACATGTGCATGTTTTTCTCACAGTGGCCCTACTCCTCTTTTATAGCTGTTTAACTTATGAAGAAATGAAATCCATTCCATCATCCAAGGCCTACCACATTGTATCCCATTTTCCCAATATCTTCAAAGTATGATTTCACATAAGTGAATTTTCCACATAACTAACTTTTCCTTTAAAAAAAAAAAAAATTCCTCCTCCCACTTTTGATCATTTTCTGCGTAATCTTGTCAAAATACATGATGTACTTCTGTGCCTTCTTAAAGAAAGCATAATGAACATAATTTCACTTCTTGGTGGCTCAGAAACAGTAGTGTTTCATCAACTCTTGGAGTATAAAAAGACTGCATGAGGAGCATTTTCCCCTTTGCAAAATAGCCCACAAACCTTTGTTCATTTTTATGTGGTTGGTTGGTAGGTGTGTTAGTCATGGATTTTCCTGTCTTTTTCTTGACTGCCATGCTGCCTGAAAACTTTCATAGGACAGTTCTTTTTACAACAAATAACTCTAGTTCTAATAGCTCTCCATCCTCTCTTCTCCCACTTCTATTCCCTCTTTCTAAACTGATACAGGCTAAGAAACCAGGGAACCAGAATATGTGTAGAGATCACTGATAATATTGAAAGTGAGGGCCATTTATACCAGGAAAAGTTTAAGGACTTTGGGGCAGTTACTTTCACTCCTCAAAGGCCCTTTTCCCTTATTTCTGGTTGTACAGCTCTGTAAAGGCAAAATGAAGTTGCCAGAATTATGACCTCTAAATAAATTGAGTAACTGCCGTATTTTCAAGCATACACTAGAATGACCACAAGAAAACAAAATATATACAAGTCTGTTTCAACAGGGTAGGGTAGGGTGGGTAGGAGGATTGAGGCAAATTATGACAATAATATCTATAACTCTGCATTGCTTCTACTTGTTATGTATATTCAAATCTTTTGGATTTGAAAGTTACAAGCCTCTAAGCTACTAGTCATTATTACTTATATGTTAAAGTAACCTCAAGAATTCTCAAGTAAACTCTAGGACGAAGTCCAAAAAATGGGGCTTGAGGAAGAAGATAAAAACATAGTTATCTCTTTATAAGATTTATGTAAAATGAGAGGCTATATGAAATGAGTCATATCTTATTATTTCTGCAAAATCAATAGGCCTATTTTATGTCTATTTACTTTTATAATGTAAATCTTGCCCCCCAAAATCTGTTTTCTCATTTTCAGTTTCTGTTTATTTCTCCTCCCTCAATCAGCACGATTTTGTTCGACGAGACCGGCCAATACGTGTCCTAATTGACCTCATACAGAGGACAAAAGATGCTGTTCGCGAATTAGATAACCTACAGTACCGAAAAATGAAAAAAATCCTTTTCCAAGAGACGCGAAATGGACCCTTAAATGAGTCACAGGAGGATGAAGAAGTAGGTTCAGTTTATTTGGTAGGCACTGATGGGGTGCCTACTACATGGGAAAGTTCTGGACTGGGCACTAGGAAAACCACTTTTGGTGATAAAAATGTAATTGGTGCTTTGGGCCTCAAGAATCATGCAGAGTTGACAAAAGAGACATTCATAAAATAACTCTTATATAAGACAAAATATGAAAAATGCTATTGAGGTGTGTCACCATGCAGGGGTCCATAGTGGGGAGAAAATAAGCCTGCTAGGGGGGGATTAGTGAAGTTTATGTGCAGGATATGATGTGGGTGGTTTCTGAGAGACAGGCATAGGACATTTTAGGCTCAGGAGAGTGCTGTGCTTTAGGAAGATTATCCTGGCAACAGAGTGTATTACGACAGACTGGAATGTGTCACATTCTGTATAATAGTCCATGCGAGAGGTAATAAGGGCAATGTCAATGGGGATGGGGGGAAAGGAACACTTCTGAGAAACACTGTAGAGGTAGATTTGATAATACAGTGCTTCTCATTGAAAGTGACAGTGACAGGTGAAGAGGAGTTTAAGGTGACTCTGAGCATTTTAACCCAGGTGACTAGGGTATGTCAATACAAAGAACAGAGAAAAAGAACCAAGGAGAAAGAATAGGTTTCGAATGATTTCAGTTTGATACCTGTTGAGGTTAAGGTCCTGGCATCATATGCTGCCGACATAGTATACAGATGGGAGTTTTCAAAGGAGAGGTGACTTTGTGTTTTCTCATTCAAATAACTTAAGAAGGATTGGTTGAGGTAAGGGTAATGACAGTTGGGACACCTGAATGGTGACGTCTGGCAGTTGGTTGGAAAATTCAAACCCAGGACATAAGAAAGAGGTCTGGGTAAAGGGTGGTTGGCTGGGAGTCAAGAGCATTAAAATGGTAATGAATCAGGCGTTGAATGTAGAATGGGAAGAGGGCCATGCCATATGAGGGACCCGAGGAAACAAACATCACAGATGTTCAGCAGTCCACAACTTCAAGGACGGAGCAGCCAGTATCATCAGATGCCACAGAGAGGTCAAGTTAGACAAGGACCCCGCCCCCCCCCCAAAATGTTAACTGGGTTTTACAAGCAGGGCATTCTTGATGACCTTCATAAAAGCAGCTTTACAGGAGTAGTTAGGATGAATAACAGATAACTGTGGGTTTGTAGAATAAATGGGAAGTGAGAAAGTAGAGACAGTGAAAGCTGGTTATTTTTAAGATTCATAAATTTGGATAAGAAGGAAAAGGGACAAAGGGCAGTATGGAGAGAGGTCTGTAAGTATGGGGCAGGTCTCTTCATATTTATAGGCAGAGTGGAAGAAGCCAGGACAGAAACATTGAAATTAGATGAGACAGATGTAGTTAAAGAAGTAGGATCTCAGCCAAAATCCATAAGGAACTTATCAAACTCAACACCCAAAGAATAAATAATCTAATCAAGAAATGGGCAGAAGACATGAACAGACATTTCTGCAAAGAAGACATCCAAATGGCCAACAGACATATGAGAAATTGTTCTACACCACTCGGCATCAGGGAAATACAAATCAAAACCTCAATGAGATATCACCTCACACCAGTCAGAATGGCTAAAATTAACAAGTCAGGAAACGACAGATGTTGGCGAGGATGCGGAGAGAAGGGAACCCTCCTACACTGTTGGTGGGAATGCAAGCTGGTGCAGCCACTCTGGAAGACAGTATGGAGGTTCCTCAAAAAGTTGAAAATAGAGCTACCCTATGACCCAGCAATTGCACTACTGGGTATTTACCCCAAAGATACAAATGTAGTGATCCGAAGGGGTACGTGCACCCCAATGTTTATAGCAGCATTGTCTACAATAGTCAAACTATGGAAAGAGCCAAGATGTCCATCAACAGATGAATGGATGAAGAAGATGTGGTGTATATATACAATGGAATATTATGCAGCCATCAAAAAAACCGAAATCTTGCCATTTGCAATGACATGGATGGAACTAGAGGGTATTATGCTAAGTGAAATAAGTCAGTGAGAGAAAGACAAGTATCATATGATCTCACTGATACAAGGAATTTGAGAAACAAGACAGAGGGTCATAGGGGAAGGGAGGAAAAAAATGAAACAAGATGAAACCAGAGAGGGAGACAAACCATAAGAGACTCTTAATCTTAGGAAACAAGCTGAGGGTTGCTGGAGTGGTGGGGGGTGGGAGGAATGGGGTGGCTGGGTGATGGACAGTGGGGAGGGTATGTGCTATGGTGAGCACTGTGAATTGTGTAAGACTGATGAATCACAGACCTGTACCTCTGAAACAAATAATACATTATATGTTAAAAAAAGAAGAAGAAGATACTAGGAAGGGAAAAATAGGGGGGGGAAATCGGAGGGGGAGATGAACCATGAGAGACTATGGACTCTGAGAAACAAACTGAGGGTTTTAGAGGGGAGAGGGGTAGGGGATGGGTTAGCCCGGTAATGGGTATTAAGGAGGGCACGTATTACATGGAGCACTGGGTATTACATGCAAACAATGAATCATGGAACACTACATCAAAAACTAATGATGTAATGTACGGTGACTAACATAGCATAATAAAATAAAATTAAAAAAAAAAGAAGTAGGATCTCAGGAAATGCATGGGATAGGAGTATTAGAGCTTTGAACAAAAGAAAGGACTCCTCTAAAACTAGATAAAAAAGAGGAAAGGAATGAACAATGAATTTTATTTTACCTTTTTATATAAAAGAAAAAAATTATCAATAATTATAAAAAAGAAATTCAGAAAACTGAATTGGACTATAAAATAAAATCTTTAAAAAAAATCTCGATTGTACATTTACAAATGATCCCCTTTAATTGGGAAAATAAATCTGTTAAAAATATAATGTATTGGGGCGCCTGGGTGGCTCAGTTGGTTAAGCGACTGCCTTCGGCTCAGGTCATGATCCTGGAGTCCCTGGATCGAGTCCCGCATCGGGCTCCCTGCTCGGCGGGGAGTCTGCTTCTCCCTCTGGCCCTCCCCCCTCTCATGTGCTCTCTCTCATTCTCTCTCTCTCAAATAAATAAATAAAATCTTAAAATATATATATATATAATGTATTATCTACCATTTTAAATTACCCAAATTACTTATGCCAGTGATTCCTTAGAGTGCCATGGCTAAGTAACAATTCATTAAAGATATATACATACAGTACGGTTCTTTGAAAATATGATTTTTTTTTAACTAAGTAGCTTTAATTATATTATTTAATCTTATATCAAAAGATATCCCACTGTGATGGGTAAATTACATATTCTGATTATTTTACCACTTCTCAAATAGTAGTCTTTGGACTAGCAGTGATGAATACCAGTATTATTTAACAGATATATTTAATACGATTACAGAGGTAAGCATGATAGAATTGCTTGAGGGAGGCAGAATTTAATTACCTGTCCAGGACAGTAGAATTAATATCCCTGCTTAGACATGAAGTTACTCAGTAATGATTTGCAGAGGAACATATTGCTTGCCAAATCTCTGAAAACTCTTTTAACTCTATTGTAGTTTCAGACGACCTCTGCCCTATTTGTAAATATCCCAGAGGTCACCTGTTCATTTACCTTAACCAACTGAGCCACCCAGGCGCCCTTTTTTTTTTTTTTTTTTTTAAGATTTCACCTGTTCATTTACCTACAATCTTTCTCTATCACCTTGATGTTCCTGAAAGTCTCTTACAAACCTGGCCCAATTTCTGCTTACTGAATAGCAATACAATAATATGATGGTTGCATATGACAGGGGAAAGCCCTGGGCTAGCAGCATTTGGAGCCTTATGACCCATGTCCAGAATGGCCCCTGAGGAAGGCAGAGAAGTGAATCTGAGACGTCTGAAAATGGTGGGGGAATAGTGGAGTCACTACATAAAAAGTTTATCTTTGCAGATTTGGCAGAAAAGCAACTTGGCACTGCAGAATTGAGTGTGCTTAATAGCTCAGTCAATGGATTGGCACTTTATCTCCAGTCATCTCTTTTAACCCCCATGCCCCATTTTTCTAGGACAGCGAACATGGAACCGGCCTGATCAGGGAAATGGACAGCCTGGGCAGCAACCATTCCATCCCAAGCGTATCTGTGAGCACAGGCAGCCAGAGCAGCAGTGTGAACAGCATGCAGGAGGTCATGGATGAGAACAGCTCTGAACCTGTCCTGATGCACGATGACGAAAGCACTATAAATTCCAGTTCCTCTGTTATGCCCAAGAAGGTAGGTTCCGTGGTACCCTTCGCAGCTCTCGGCTTTGTCAATGTAGTGAAGGAAGCTCAGGCCACTTGGCATCCAGACGTTTCAGTGGTACCTTTCTACAACTGCAGTATGGGACTAGACCTAGCACTTGAAAGTTTTCTTTCTTTTTTTTTTTTTTAAAGATTATTTATTTATTTATTTGACAGAGAGAGACACAGCAAGAGAGGGAACACAAGCAGGGGGAGCGGGAGGGGGAGAAGCAGGCTTCCCGCTGAGCAGGGAGCCCAATGCGGGGCTCGATCCCAGGACCCTGGGATCATGACCTGAGCCGAAGGCAGACGCTTAACAACTGAGCCACCCAGGTGCCCCGAAAGTTTTCTTGTAGTAAAAAGATAACAAGAGACTATGCAAAGCTATAGCTGGGCCTATTTCTTCATCTTTCTCTCCTGCTACTCTGATGTCAACCATCATCAGTAAATAAAAATAAATAAATCTGTAAATCTTCAAGTCAAAGAAATTGATACAATGCCTCTCTAAACCAACAACTTTTAATACTGTAATCTTAACACCTTCCTGAATATAACCCGTTGGTTGTGCCCATTTAGAAGTATGCTCTCAGAAGTATGTTTCTTAATGTATATTCCCAAGATATCACTTGTTTTAGAAACAGTTTCTACTCTTTTCTGTTGGTCTTAGATTTATTCTAAAACTAGCTCTGTCAGCTTAAATATTCTGACTTTTGAATGAATGATTCTATTTTTAATTTTTACTTTGGTTTTCCAATTAAAGATCCTCCTGGGGTGCCTGGGTGGCACAGTTGGTTGAGTCCAGCTCTTGGTTTTGGCTCAGGTCGTGGGATCGAGCCCTGCATCTGGCTCTGTGCTCAGTGCAGAGTCTGCTTAAGACTCTCTTCCCCAGGGCGCCTGGGTGGCTCAGTCATTGGGCGTCTGCCTTCGGCTCGGGTCATGATCCCAGGGTCCTGAGATCGAGCTCCGCATCGGGCTCCCTGCTCCGCGGGAAGCCTGCTTCTCCCTCTCCCACTCTCCCACTTGTATCCCTGCTCTCACTAACTCTCTCTCTTTGTCAAATAAATAAATAAAATCTTTAAAAAAAAAAAAATAAAAGACTCTCTTTCCCTCTCCCTGTCCTCCCCCCTCTGTCTCTCAAATAAGTAAATCTAAAAAAAAAAAAAATCCTCCTTTCATACAGACCTATCATGGTTTATAAGTTGAAGTACTTCATGAAAAAAAAAGAAAAAAAAAAGTCTTAAAGTTTCTTGCAGAGCATTTTCTGTAAGATGAGTATTATACAGGGGCACCTGGGTGGCTCAGTCATTAAGCGTCTGCCTTTGGCTCAGGTCATGATCCCAGGGTCCTGGGATCGAGCCCCACATCGGGCTCCCTGCTCTGCCGGAAGCCTGCTTCTCCCTCTCCCACTCCCTCCTGCTCGTGTCCCTCTCTCGCTGTGTCTCTCTCTGTCAAATAAATAAACAAAATCTTTTTAAAAAAAAAATGAGTTTTATACAGAATTACCAATAATTCTTTGGATGAAGTCCCAAAAATGTTTTGAGTGACTTTAGGTAAGCAGTCCATAGTGTAGAATTATATGAAAGAATCTCTTTATTTTTTCTTGTAAGGTATATATGTACTTGTTTTAATAAATGCTAATTTCAGTGATAGAGCATGTTTAAGAATTTTTTTCACTTAAACTTCAATTGGTGCATTTTCCTTGGGACAAAGAGGAAATTGAACAGGTAAGGATGAAGGGCAGGAGAAAATATATTGGTCCCTGGTCATAAGTAGTGGAGGGATACACATTTATTTTCTGAACGGATTAACTTATTCATTTATTCAACAAAAATTGGTGAGGACTTCTACTACGTGCCAGGAACTATGGTAGGTCCTGTGGATACGTAGGAAATAAAACACACATAACACTTTCATGAAACTTATTCTCTATGGGGGAGATTAGGAAAATAATTGTACAATTAACTATATCATGTGATTATGAAAATTCTGCTCTGGGTAAAAGGAGTATTTAATCTATCAGGGAGTCGTGGAAAGCCTACCCAGTGAAGTAACGTTTAAGCTAAAACTTCACAGATAAGTAGACGTTAGCTAACCTGGGGTGAGAGATGGGGATGAATCAGAAAATAAGCGCAAAAGCCCTGAGACAAAAAGAACTTTGTATGTTCAAGGAAGAGGGGAAAGGTCAGAGAAGTTAGAGCTTGGTGAGCAGTGTGAAGAGTGAATGGAATCTAGAGAGACAGCAAGGACCAAGTTATCAGAAAGCCATGGAAGCATTTTGAGTAAAGGAGTTATAGCATACAGATGCAGAAATCTGCTAAGAGTTCAGCATTGGCAGCCAGCCTTCTTTAAACATGGGCAAGTGATCCTATATTTGAAAGGTAGAAAAGAAGGTTTTGCTGGGCTTTCTTTTTGGAAGTAGCTGTCATGGATGCTGACAAATCTGGCTCTTTCCTTTCTATTACCTCTGGAGTTCCATGGGTATAGGGATCAAAAGAAAACTAATTCCACTGGATCTTTTTACTCCAGGACCCCTCAAATGAGAACAGAATTAGAAGAAAGATACCACTGGCACAGTCAACAAGAAGGAAAACCCTAGTCTTGAACTTACTGGAGATTTTAATTCTAATTTTGGTGTGTGATGGTACAGACCTGTCTTGTGATAATAGAGGTTTTTCAATACTTTTTTCTCTTGCATGTAATCACTTAAAGAATAGATGTTAATATATGGGGCACCTGGGTGGCACATTTGGTTAAGCGACCAACTCTTGGTTTCTGCTCAGCTCATGATCTCAGGGTCGTGAGCTCGAACCCCACATTGAACCCTGCATCAGGCTCCCCACTCAGCACTTAAGTTTCTCTCTCCCTCTGCCCCTCCCCACCCATGTTCTCTCTCCCTCTCTCAAAATAAATCTTGTTTTTTTTTTTTTTAAAGATTTTATTTATTTATTTGAGAGAGACAGACAGACAGAGAGCATGAGAGAGGGGAGGGTCGGGAGGGTCAGAGGGAGAAGCAGACTCCCTGCCGAGCAGGGAGCCCGATGCGGGACTCGATCCAGGGACTCCAGGATCATGACCTGAGCCGAAGGCAGTCGCTTAACCAACTGAGCCACCCAGGCACCCATAAATCTTGTTTTTAAAAAAAGAATAGATATTAATTTATATTCTGAAATAGATGGTCTTGTATTTGATCCATATAAAATGTTTGTCAGGAAGAATTTAAGTTATATAATGTATTTCTGTTTTATTATGGAATAAATATATAGAGGAAATGTGATGAAAGAAAATTGAAAAACACTTGTGAATAGAACTGAATGAATTAATTGAACTGAAAATATAAGCAGGCTAACCAAAAGCAACACACAGAATGGGACCAAATATTTGCAGATCATATTTGCATATCTAATATTTGCATATCTAATAAGGGATTGATATTCAAAATAGAGAGCAAGCTCCTAAAACTCAACAACCAAAAAATGACCAACCCAAATCGAAAATGAGCAAAGGACTTGAATAGACATTTCTCCAAAGAAGATAAACAAATAACCAATAAGCACATGAAAAGATGCTCAATATCATCAATCACTAAAGAAATGCAAATCAAAACTACAGTAAGATACCACCTCATGCCCATTAGGATGGCTACTATCAAAAAAACAAAAAAATGACAAGAGTTGGCAAGGATGTGTAAAAATCGGAACCCTTGTACACTGTTGATAGGGATATAAAATGGTATAGCTGCTGTGGAAAACAGTATGGTAGTTCCTCAAAAAAATTAAAAATAGAATTGCCACATGATCCAGCACTTCCACTTCTGGATATATACCCTCAAAAATTTAAAGTAGGGTCTCAAGGAAATATTTGTACAACTGTGTTCATAACAGCATTAATTATAATCGCTAAAATTTGGAAGCAACCCAAATGTCCATTGATGGATGAATGGATAAGCAAAATATAGTATATATGTGCAATGGAATATTATTCAGCCTTAAAAAGGAAAAGAATTTCTGACATACACTACAACATGGATAAATCATGAGGAGTGAAATATGCCGGTAACAAAAAGACAAATACTGTACGATTCCACTTATATGAGGTATTTAGAGTAGCTAAAATCATAAAGATGGAAAGTAGCATGGTGGCTGCCAGAGGCTGAGGAGAGGGAAGAAATGGAGAGTTGTTTAATGGGGACAAGTTTCAGTTGTACAAGATGAAAGAGTTACGAGGATGGATGGGGGTGATGGTTGCACAACATTATAAGTCTATTTAATAGCCCTGAACTGTATACTTAAAAATAATTAAGATGGTTAATTTATATATATTTCACCACAATAAAAAAAAGGGGGGAATGTAGGCAGGCAATAAAAGTAGAATATGTTATATGTGAAAACTGAATGTTAAATATGGTATCTCTTCATGAGACCCATTTAAATCCTATACCTGGGCTTAAAAATTTATCATTCAACAGAAATACAAAAATTATTCAGAAACTTCATATTTGTTGGTATGCTTGACTTCCTAAAAGTTTTCCACTTGGGAACATAAATGAAATAGGATCTTAAGCTCTCAATAGAAAATTTTATATAATGGATCATAGGAATGAGGACACAAGTTTATAGTTCTGTCTGCCACTGTTAGTGTTATTTTACTTTAGGCAAATCACAAACCTCTCTGGGCCTGTTTCTCCATCTGTAAAATTAGGAGTTCTGTATGGTTTCAGAGATCCCTTCCAGCCCTTAAATTCTGTGTTTCTATTCCTGTAATCTTTTTTTTTTAAGATTTTATTTATTTATTTGACAGAGAGAGAGAGAGCACAAGCAGGGGGAGCAGGCTCTCCGCTGAGCAGGGATCCCCATGCGGGGCTCAATCCCAGGACCCTGGGATCATGACCTGAGCCGAATGCAGACACTTAACGACTGAGCCACCCAGGCACCACTATTCCTGTAACCTTTAGAGAAGTAGATCTCTCATGTGACTTTCAAGCTGTTTTGTAGA